TTCTTTTTAAATCTTTACTCCCACAATCCTCTCATCTTGTCTTGAATCTCTATTCAGTATTTCAAGAACCAAAATAAATAAGAGAGGAGATAGTGGGCACCCTTGTATTGTTCCTTTTTGTATCTCACAAAGCTTGTCTTGTTCCTTTTTGTATCTCACAGAGCTCCATTAACAATTATTTGTGCTTTGTGTGAAGTATAAATCAATCTTGCCCATTTTATAAAGTTCTCTCCAAAGTTCATATCTTCCAAAACTTTGAACAAGAAAGCCCAGTTCATATTGTCAAAGGCCTTCTCTGCATCTAAGAAAATCAATGTGGCTTATTTTTCTTTGTGTTTCTCCAAATATTCCAAAATGTCCAACGCATTTCTAATAATGCCTTTAACTGTCTTTTAGGTAAAAACCCAGCATTGATCTTCATGAATATATTCTTGCAAAATTATTTTCAGTCTATCAGCTAGAATCATTATGAACACATTGTAGTCATTATTCAATAATGATATTGGCCCATGGTTTCTTGTTACAGTCAAATCTTGTCCCTCTTTAGGTATTAGTGCTATACTGGCCTCTTTCCAACTCTCTGGCATCTTTCCTCCCTGTAAAATAGAGTTCACCATATTTTATAAAGGTTATAAAAGTTGATTCTCAAAACATTTATAATAAGAACCTGATAACCTGTCTGGTCCAGGCACCTTTCCTGGTTTAATTTATTTCATAGCTTCACAGACTTCTCTTATCATTATAGATCCATTCATAATCTTTTTCTGTTCCTCTGTAATCCTCAGTAAATTTTGTTTCTTTAGGTACTTATCTATTTTCTTCAGAGAGATGTCTTGTTCTTTATACAAGTTGGAATAATATTGATGAAATTCGTTTTGCATAGCCATGTTATCTGTTAATACAGTATCGCCTCTTGAAGTTTCAACATTTTCTTTCCCTTTTCTTTTCGTAATTTATATGCTAACCACTTTCCTGGTTTGTTTGCAAACTCAGAATTTTTTTGCTTTACATAATTCATTTTTATTTCCATTTCTCTTACTCTTAACATAGATAACTGTCATTGTAAAAGCTTAGTTTGTTGAGAAATACTTATCTTCTCTGGAAAGTTCTTTAATAATTCTTCTTTTCTCTTCATCTCATCCAAAATAGCTTGTGTTTTCTCTTGTCTCTTCTTTTTGAGTTCACTATTATGTTGTATGAAATAATCTCTGATAAAAACTTTAGTTGCGCCCCAAACCATTCTTGAATCAGTACCTTTATCTAAATTATTTTGAAAAAAATCTGTTAATTTCTTTTTACAATCCTCTACTATAGTTTTTTCTGTAGCAACATTTCATTTAGTCTCCATCTAAAGAACTGGATTTCCTTTTATAAACCAAATTCATAGGATTATGATCCAAAAAGTCTTTGGTAGTATCCCTACTTTAGAAATCTTAGTGGCCAAATTCTTCAAAATCCAAATCATGTCTATTCTTGAAAACGAGCTGTGCCTTTCAGAAAGGTAGGTGTACTCTCTTGAATTGTCATTTTTTTGTCTGCATATATTAAGAAGCCCTAAATTGTCCATCAGATCAGAGAAAACTTTTAGTAATTTCCCTTGAGTGATTTTAATATTTTTCTTAGAAGTTCTATCCAGTTGTGGGGAGATCACTCCATTCCCATCCCCCATCAAACATCAATTTTCGTAAGAAAAACCCATTAGTCTCTCCATAAGTCCTTTATAGTTGTTGTCCAGTCATTAAGTCATGTCTTCGTGACCCCATGAACCATATTGCGTCAGGCCTTCCTGTCCTTCACTGCCTCCCTGAG